GGATGTACCTGCATTCCGCAGTGGGTGATGATGTTCCCAACCCCGTGCCCATAGTTTCAGACTCCACCAGACCACTTGGAACAAGAGACCCAACTCTTGTGCAACGAAATGCGCATCCTGGATTCCACTGCTAGTCACCATCCACCAGTTAAATTCTAACTACACACCCAGACATCGTCGAAGCATCTGCACAAGAAGCCGACATGTCAACCTGAGACCAAGCACTTCGGTCTAATTAATCGACGGGAAGATCTAAAATTGAATTAATTAGCACGTATTTACATTCATCTTATCCATTCAAGGTATTCATATAGAACTTATTTTTTTAAATTTCTAAAGACTGAATAATTTCTGATCCAAAAAAATATTTTCATCCATTGTCAAAAAACGGAAAGACAACATAAACTTTTCTTTGTAGATCAATTCATCATCCAACGACATTGATGTTCCATATGATTAGTGGACAAATTTAAATTGCATCTAAGTCTCTTTAAGAGACAAGCTGAATAACAAACCCAAGAAAGACGATTTTGTCAACAATGATTTCATAAGTCCCCCAAATATTGTTTACACTTCTTCGTCACAATAACAGCGGCCCGGCTTAATATCACTGGGCTACTAGAATTTTTATCCATGAAAATGCCTTAACTCTTCTGAATTTCTTATTGTTTTAGATCACAACATGAACCTGCCCAAATATTTAATTGGCTTTCAACAGAACGCTGTGTGATTCTTGAAGAGAATGAAAAAAATTTGTACAGAATGGGTGCTGTATTCATATCTGTCGATCAAAGGGCGTGTGTAATGCTCATCAGTCCGCTCCGTCCTCCTTTATGGCTAGCTGTGAGACCTGGCCATTGAGAGCGGAAGACATGAAAAGACTAGCTGTCTTTGATCATAAGTGTCTGCGTTCTATATCCCGCGTGAAGTGGTGCAATAAGGTGAGCAATATTGAGGTTAGGCGTAGAGTGCTAGGTGAGGAGGGGAAATCAGTTGACGAGACTGTGAAATTACATCGACTGAGATGGTTAGGACATGTGTTACGTATGCCTAATCATCGCCTTCCTCGACGGGCAATGTTAGCTGATATAGGGTCAGGCTGGAAAAGAGCTAGCGGCGGTCAAACGAAAACATGGCACCAGTCAATGAAATCCACAACAGTTAGTCTAAGCCAGTCACGTAGGAAGGTGTAGACTTCCTGGTTGGTGTCCTCGGGACGGTAAAAACCAGTGGTTGGAAACAATTGGTGACATGTCTCAAAATCGTTCTCAGTGGCGCAGATGCATCCACTCCTTGTGACTCATGATTTCCAGTGAAACTATATTGTTCTTCGTTATTACTATTCCTTTGTCTCACGCCTCTGTTTACTGTCTATATTGGGCATTTCTCCTACTTTCTTCTCTTTCTTTGTGTGCTACATGGAGTATGGCGACTTGAACTGCCGCACATATGTGCAAAGTTCTATGTCGAAAACCGACCGACCGACCGCTGTCTTCATACACATGTGTGTTTATCCATATACCAGCTCGTGTGGAGCTAGGTATATCGGTCGTTCGACTCGAGTTTTGTCCAAGAACACTATCCTGTATGGTTATGAAAGTTTGGAAGTGGAGCGATAAGAAGCGCAATCATTGAATGTCTGGTCGATAATGGTCACCCTATCTCTGCAGCCTCCACCTTTAAAGTCATCTACAAGGCGAGGAATATCCTGCCCACATCACTCACTACGTACCCGACTCATCTATATTGCTGAAGCCTTGCCTATCGAAACAGAAGAGCCAGATCTTTGTATGCAGAAAATGTCCGTTAAACCACTCCAACTTCCGTAGACTCAATCCCTGTATGTTAAAGTATAGTAATCCCTATTCATATTTTGGCTCTAACAATGTTTTTCTTTTTTTTATTCAGTTTGTATACTCTTCCTTTATTACATCGATTGTTACTATTATTCCACTCAATTTGATTGGTTCCCCGTATTATTTCACTCGTTCCACTTGTCATTCTAAATCAATGTTGTTTTGCAACGTTAAATTCTATGTTGTCAAATTTCCCACAGTGTTAAGTAATGTTTTTATTTTTGTTATATTTGACTACTAATCCTTCAGTTGTACACTCCCTTTCAACTTCTATACATCCCATGAATTGTTCTATGTATGGTAGTAACTGTTTTGGCACTTGATGTTGAACTATGATTATAATCATAAACATTTTAATTGCATTTCATACTATTATTATCATTATTTTATGCATTCACACATGTGATTTAGTTCCCTCGCGGGATGTAACGTCTTAGAAACCACATATATATATAGTAGTGTACAGCTTGATAGTAAATTCTTTGAAAAGAGTCTCTTCACCGAATCACTTGCTTTTTGATTTTCAGTGTCACAGTAAGTCCCATGGTAAACTTCAGATTATTACTTTATATAGTAAAGCCTATACGAAGAAGAATGATTTCAGGACTCGACATGCTGAAAGCTTCTGAAATAGAGCTTTATTATTAGTTATTATTAGGCAATATATTTCCAGGAATCGCCGTAAAACACTATTGAACACTTCCAAAATTCATCTGAACACTGTGTGATTGTTTCACAGTAAAATCTTATCTATAATAGAGTTATACTCTACCACAGTACTCAAGTTTTATATTTATATCGTAATACTTGCTTTTGTTATCCTATTTGCCGTAATAATAATAATAATAGTAATCTTTTGAAAATTAAAGCTGTTTGCAGGCAAACAGATAGATATACTGACGTATATATATTAACACAGAGCATAAAAATAAACGGCCATCTGTTAGCCACTTTATCTCTTTCCATATATTTTTCCATCCTTGTTTGCTTATAGAGTAATATCATCAGTAAGAAAAAAAGTATTATTATTATTACTAAACTATATACATGTGTGAATGAGACCCCATTGATAAACGCTTTTGTCGTCACCGTATTGCTTATATTTATTGTTTCTGTATTCTACTAAGCGATCATTCTCTCCAAGTGTTTCTCAACCCCTATTTATCCCAAAGCCGACAGAGTCATTAAACAACTGATAGCGATATAACTTGAAAGTTACGCGTGACCGACTAGTTAGTAGAGAAATAAAAAATAAACTTTTGAATAGTATTTTCATTCGATAACTGTGATCATTTATTGATGTTCCCTTTTATCTTCAGATTATAGTGTGATGGTAGAAGACAAAGAACTTGGTGAAGGAATGTTCATGTGCAATTCAGTATCACTATATTGCCTTCAACACCCCATTTGCACATGTCTTCCATGCTGTGTCGTTCCTGGCCTCCATATTGTGTTTCTTTGTGTTCCTTTCAATTCATCTGTGTATCTCCACAAAGCCGTGTCATTTTCTTTCACCGACATCAAATCTATCTCCCTGCTATTTGATGTTTCTTACACTGATGAACATCTCTTTATATACTACTGATAACTTTTATCAGTAGTCGCGGGGATTTGGGATTAATTTCAGCTGTTAGATTTTCGTTACCAGCCAACATCAGCTAAAGAGATCATTGAAAGCCAAAAGGGAGCACTGAATGGCTGTTCTCCCTGTTCTGGGAACCATCGGCAGTGCTTACCCACGATCCAACCGAGGATGGAACGCAGGACCTTCACATTACGAGACCAACCTTGTTGACCGTTAAGCCAGTTGGCCCGGAATTCAAAGACCCATGAATACTTAATGTATTCACTCATGATACAGCAGTGCCTTCACCGATGTTTTCCACTAACATCTGCTTCACCTCGATGTGGTGGACTCCACTGGCCATGATTTCCTTCTGTAGCTTCAGGAAACCCATTCAGTAGCCATAAGTCATCTGGCAACTGGTACTTAGATTACAGATCATTGAATTCTATTCTAAGCGGCTGAATGGTCGATGGGCTTGATTTTGAAGTCCTAGGTTCGGTTCTTGATGGTATAGTGGGCAAGCGCGGATGAAGAGCCCCTGAATAAGACGAAGCAGCTGTCCAGTGCTCCCTGTTGGCTTTCAGTGATCTCTCTAAATGACATTGGATCGTCAGGAAAATCTAACAGCCGCAATTAATCCATAATCCCTGAAAACCCCATAATCTGTGTACCAGCCACCAGCTCATTGATCACTACTGGATGGATTCCTGAAGCGGCAGTAAGAATTAGTGACCAGTGGGGTTAATCATGTCAAAGTGTAGTGGATGCTCATAGAAGGCATAGCATCAGGGTAGCTCCACATCACTAGCTGACAAAGTCAGAATTTAAGGTCACTTGACTCCAGCTTGAATGGCTGAATGGTCAGCTAACTTGGTCTTGTAACACGAAGGTCCTGCGTTCGATCCCTAGCTGGGTCGTCGGCACTCAATACTGAAGAATTTCGAACTACGGCGAAAAAGCTGTCCAGTACTCCCTGCTTTTCAATGATCTCTCTAACTGATATCATCTTGTAATAAATTTTTGACAGTCAAATCTTTTATCTATTAGTATTATTACTTCCACTCATGCATATTTCGTCATATACAAAAATGTCTTTCATGTCAACGGTAATACCATTGCTGTTGCTGTGATCTCTGGGGTTGATTAATAGCAATAACAACTAGATAAGATACAGATAACTTCACAAAACCTAGATTTTCACTTTTCAGTTAACCAACTTTAGACTCATGCTATCCAACAGAGAAAATGAAAATCCACTTACTTCCGAGTTCGAAAGGGAACATCTACAAGACAGTAACCATATTCAGGTGTTGGTTTGCAGGGACTTGATTAGATTGGTTACAGGATTTTTTCATGAACTGACATCAATTAGAGAACCATTGAAAAACCTGGGAGTACTGGATAGCTGTAACGTCCCAGTTTGTGATTCTTCAGGAGCATGCACCCACGGATGTCAATTCATGATGGATTCCTGTAACCAATAACCATATTGTTGAAGATTTTTGAAGATCCGTTGTGTGTGTGTATAAGCGTATAATTATTCAATTTTCAGTATTTAACATAAAGATATAAAATATTCACGTTCTTACCATAATCAGAAAAACATTCCAATAGAAATAACCAGGTCTACGTGCTGCTCTACAAGTCACAGAAATACAAGGATGACTTTGACTTGAGTGCGTATATTCTTGAGTTGCAGAACGTCTTGTTATTTCGATATGTTCATGTAGCTTCCATTCCTACATTTAGAAAAATGTCCAAGACCAAAAAGTATAATAAATAAGGACAGATTAATCTGTGCTTAAAAATAAGTGGAATGCTTCAAGAGTTTACTTAAAATGTTTTAAGTTTGACCACAGAGTGATATAATTTTGTCCTAGTTTGGGACTAATTAGCAGTATGGACCCACCAGATTTCGAACCCAGGACCTTGCAATTACCAGGCAAGCTCATTCTAATGAGCAGTCCTGACTACCTGCGTCCACTAGGTCAGGGTAGGGAGAAATATTCGCCGCGCTAAAAACACGAACCAACAAAAGTAAGAATTCATGGATCGTTGAGTCGGGCTATAGTGGCTAAATGGCCTAGAAACTTCAATAGTTGCTGGAAGGTTATGGTTTCGAACCCTGATGCGTACGTACTGCCAATGAGTCTGAAACCGGGACGAAACCTGAGCCTAGTACTCCCTCCAGGTTTTTGATGGTTTTCTAACCGATACCAGCCAGAAGTCTAACTTCAGAGAAATCCAAACCCTACAAAGTGTCTCTTCAAAATTATGATGTTTTATCAGCCTCAGAGAAATACCTACACATCTGGATACATGTGAGTATCAGTTGGTCTATAACAAAGTCACCCAATGTGCATCATCTCAGAACGAGGATTCTTGCACTAATACTTCGCGACTAGTAATAAACCTAATCGAATGTATTGAAATACTGGCCGTCAATAATCCCTTCAAAATCTTAAGCCACGTCAATAAGAATTTGCTATTCGTTACCAATAACAAACTGAAAGGAATGTATAAGGTATGGTACTTCTTCTCAGGCATTTTTTATTGAAATTGAAGTACACTGGTGGAAGTTCTTCTGTTCTTATTTAGGAAATGAATTTTAGAAGAAGAAAATGAACCTAGTCTGAACTACCCTTCCATGGATTCAATGATCAAAGCCAATCTTACAAGTTATCTACGAATAGTGAATCACTTTATTCCTAAGATAACTAATACGTCCAGCTTTCGTTCTCCAATGATACTGGCTTTCACTTCTTATGATATCGCTGATTCACTTTTTTTTCTTAACTTTTATAGTGGATCTAAGTATCCATGACTCTCATATTATCACAAATCAAAATATGTAAAAAACTACATATTTATAAATATAGGCAACATGAATCACTTGGAGGACATATCATCAATGATGTTATCCTAATTGTTATTTAAGACGCTGTGGATGATGGTAATCAGCTTTCTGTTTACATTGCTGTTGAAACTGAAAAACATTAGTGTTGAGCTTGCATAGTATTATGCGAGTCAATCCGGAGACTCTTATTTCAGTTTATTTTAGTTACTTGCAAATAATTAAGTAGTATGATATTTTCAAACAAATTATTTAATGTGGTTTGATGAGAGTTTAGAAGTAAATTTTGGAGATGATACATTTATGCACATTTAGAAAAAAGCGTGCTTATTATAGAATCAATATAAAGATAAATGTTGAAAATCGCAGCTATGAGACTGAATCTACCACTGTTCCTCATGGTAATCTACTAAGAGCCCAAAAGGAAATTAGAAACCGCATGAACGCTTGAATTCTTGTGGTGGAAATGTCAAGAAACAGTCACACATACCCTCCCTTTGTTTACACTTGTGCTTCAACTTTACTGGAGGATTAGCCGGAACCGAAATCATTTCATATGGGAACTCATTATAAAGGAAACTCAATAAAGAAACTGCTGAACTACATTGAAGGCTGGAGAGATGGGAATTTACTGTCTTGAACAGTTCAACAAAGCTCCTGGGCATCTCATCGAGAAGTCTAAGGCATTAGCATTACAGTGCAAAACTTGAACTTAACTTTTCAACCAATTAACCAGTGACTAGGTATGGAACATTAGTACGATCCCACTACTTTTATCAGTCCTAGTGACCTCAGCATCGTAACTAATCCCCCTTTGAATAAAATATCACGTTATTGTTAATTTACGACAGTGAATTTCAGAGTACTTTGAAAACACTCACTGTGACAACAGACAGTCCATTCGCCTAATTATGTCAAATAATGAAGGACAATCCTAGGACTCAGGACTTTCTTGGAACGATGGTTGGGGTTATGTGATTCAATTCCTGAATTTTTCACTTATAATAACAGTGATCACTGAAATAGCTTCTGATGCTTTCCATTAGGTCCACAAGCTTCTTAGAAAGTATTATGATAATTCTACAGCAAAGTGCAAACTGTAATCTTTATGAATTTGCTTAACTGTATTAATCACTATCGAACTCCTTGGATTCACAAATGATTGAAGTGACGCGTAGACCAAATCATCCAGGTAAATGTCAAAAAGCACTGAATTCCATCAAACAAAAAGTGCCACTAGCCTCTACAAGCCCCTTCGAGCTAAATAAAATACAACTAGTAAATTGCGAGAACGTTTTTTCTTATGTTATCATTTGTCTTGAAGAGTAGGCACTTTTTTAAAAACTATTAAGTTGTTGTAAAAGAGGTGGCAGTCATAGCCACAGTGGTTCAGTGGATAAGGTATTGGCATTTGAATCAATAACATCTGAGATCGAGCCCCAGTGGAAACACGATCGCTAACTCAGGAATGCCGTTACCTCCAGATGATGAGCCCCAAATAGAACAAAATGCTCATTCTGGATTCCACTGCTAGTCACCTCCTACCGAATTACTAGTGAGATATCGTTCACCAAGATTTCACAGGTAATGAAATGTGAGAAATCCGTTCAAAATGAATAAAAAATAGTGCAGAAGAAAATTAATAAATTCGGCCAATTCTTTACCATACAAAAGACAAATAAAGAGATTTTTTCAACAATATATTTGCATTTTAGGACTGAAAGTGTGAATAAAAATGATATGAAATCTTCGACCATGAATTAAGCAAGCAAACACGTATTTCCGGTAAATTCTCATCAGCCATCACAATTACACGACAAACTATCAGTTAGTTAAAGACATATGAAACAATGTGGATCAATAGGAGCAAATACAATCAAGGAAAATGTAAGTGGAACAATAATAAGTTGTGAAACTCAGGTTTAATTGTATAACTATAAGGCGGTATGGTACCGATAATCAAGTTATCAGTACAAATAAAAATAAAGACAATATTTACATTTGTCTGATGTCACCAGGAGAGATAAGTATTCCAGAGTGGGATTGAATGACATGGAAGGGAGAGGGATTGAACAAACATTTTCTGAACACATGGATTGGGCTGGAACATTTACAACACGGCAACTGTCTCATCTGTGCTTAGCAATCGAAGGCGTACAATTTTAGGTAATTAAGTTGGTACCTTTCGTAGAATTGTAATTACGGAAATTCTTTAAATCTTGTAATCCATAGCCAGAAGATGTGAAAATATGGAACTTATGATTGATTTTGCGACTCCTTTACCTAACCAAGTTGGACAATGAGCAGTTCCCTAAGTTTTTACACCTTCGATTGCTAAGCACAGCTGAGACAGTTGCCGTGTAAGTGTTCCAGCCCAGTCCATGTGTTCAGAAAATGTTTGTTCAGTCCCTCTCCCTCCCCTGTCACTCAATCCCACCCTGGAAAACTTATCTCTCCTGGTAACACCAGACAAATGTAAATATTATTTTTATTTTCTTTTGTACTGATAACTTGATTATCGGTATCATACTGTCTTATAGTTATACACCTGAATCTTAGTTCCACAATTCATTATTATTATTCCACTTACATTCTCCTTGACTCTATTTGCTCCTATTGATCCACATTGTTTCAAATGTCTTTAACTACCTGACAGTTTGCGTGTAATTGTGAAGGCTGATGAGAATTTACCGAAAATACGTATATGTCAGAAACTTAATACATTTACTTCCTCTCTATGAATTTGAATGAAGCAATAACAACAGTGGTTTGTGCAGTAAATAAATTGGTACCATCATTTATTTCGTTGGTTTCTCATTAGCTGCTTATAACCTAAATAAATTATTGAGTTAATGTACAGAAAAGGTTTTACATGCTTCCTCCAACACACTCAGTCTGAGTACGTCACTAGCCAGAGCCTATCCTGAAGATAAATTGGTTCCCGTTTTTTAAACAATATGGTCTTCCATGCAGTCAAAAGTCTACAGATATCCTTCTCATGTTAACTCTTACTGTGTATACAAATTGACATGGATCCGCGGAAGCATTCACCCTGGGAGAACAGAAAGAAGGGTGCACCTCCAATTTTCTGAACATGTACCGAAAAGCCTACGTCTCAAGAGAACAAACGCTTAAAACTGTGCCGTTACCAGACATCTCCTTGTTACGGATCATGAGCTGGAAATTACAAATTCCTTCAAAATTATCAACATAGTAAAAAGCTCGATTCTCCACAAGTTTGTCAAAGCATTTTCTACCAAACGCCTGAAACCTGATTTGTGTGTTCAATAAGAAGTTTTTCATTGCCCTGGTAACTGGATGCCTTTACTCTCTCTCTTTCTCAATCATTTGATTACATTTTCTTTGGCTTTACTCTAACTCCCACCTTTGATATATTGGGGAAATTTGCTTTTATCTTGTTATTATGGTTTCAGTTGAGCTCAGTAAATTGTTGCCCAATTTATTGGTTACTCATCATCTTACGTATCTGTCTTCTTTATTACGCAACTCCTTTACCATTGTATGCATACATTTACTTTTTTAAACTCAAAATTCCTGTACAAAAACTATATATAGCGTAATTTTCTGAGCACTGTTCACTAATTGCGGAACCTCCTGTCAACTGACATCACGTAAAATTTTCAAGTATGTTAAAACCGTTCTCTACATGAACTTAATAAAAATTCATTTAGCCTATAAGCAGCTGATGAGAAGCTAGCAAAATAAATGACAGTACCATACTATTCTGCAAAGTCTATTGTTCTTGCTTTATTCAAATACGTATATTTTATTGTATAAATCATATTCTAAAATTGTCTTAATGGGAACTCTCAAATTATACGAAATCTCTCAAAGAACACTGCAAATACAGTATTTCTGATGGAAAATGTCATGCCAGTAAATAGCTTACCTGCTGATCAACAAGGGTCTGCAAATTTATCCTACACGGTTCATTTTTATCTGGAATGAGTTGAACTTCAGATTCTGGTCGTTCAGACGTTAGAGTGATAGTTAAATCCTAAAAAATACAAACAAAAAAATTTGATAAATAGAACACTGTTGTAAAAACCAGCTCATTGATGGGTCAATTGTGATACTTTTATAAAATTGTGTGAGATATAAACTTGAAGAAGAAGTGTAAAATATTTATATTCTTGGATGTAGATGGCTGATCAATGGTCAAAGAATATTCTTTGTGAAGAAAATAAAAGACAGATTCAGCGAAGAAAATTTTCTTTATCGACGAAATCATCTTCAGAGACTGTACAATCGTATTTATACTTACGAAAATATATAGTGGTCTATTATTGAGTAATAGGGGGTGACATAATTGATATAATTACTCAGAAGTGGCTTTAGAAGTGAAAATTAAAAGTTGTAAATTACGTGGTACTCAACGGCAAAAAGATAGAAATTTGATAAGATTAAAATTGCTATTAAGTGAGAATAAAGGTATTCGAGTGTCAATTTAACAAGTGTGAAGAGGGTGTGAAAATATACAAAAGGAGCATATGAGAGTGATAATAGTGAATTAATTATTAAAGCAAAAGCTAACTAAAAGTGAAATTAGAATGAAAAGAAAAAATCAAAAAATATTTTATTTGCAAGGAACGATTCTTTGTGATAACTTGCTTTCCATCAGGTTCTACTTATATGTAATAGGCATAATTAAAGAAATAGTGTTATGAACAATGTTGACGCTTTTTTAAATTACATTAAATCAGTAGTATCGACGGATGACTACAATTCAGAATGATCAGTAAGAGGATGATAATAGGCATTACATATTACACTAAACTGACTGAATATCAGATAAATTAAGGGAAGTAGTACAGAATTTATGCATTTATGAGTTTGATAGTGAGTAGCAATAGTGGCTTACTAGACCTGTTTCTTTTGCACACAGATCTCCAAGTGATTCAAGTCAATTCTATTGACCTCTTGTGTTCTCAGTGTTCCGTATCTAGAGGCGTTTCGTAATTATATTGGGCTCCTGCTCTTGGTAATTAGCTTTTCGTCCTCGGAAACACTTACCAGTGTCCCTAAATAAAGGTGTTGTTAAAACCATCAACAGTTCTATAATGGATCACCTAGTCCAAACAGGCCACCAAACTGACTGACATTGAGGAGACCTCCTTATGATACATTGGGTACCAGATAAATTAGCAAAGGCTTCTAGATACCGAACACTCCAAACAGAAGAGGCCACTTCAGCTTGCCTAAATAGGCCAGAATTGCGATTTTTAAAAGAAGCAGGTCAAGCCAGCCACAACTGCTAACCTGACCCATTGTCGAATCCACTAAATCATAAACTCGGTGTTAATTCCCTTAATTTAGCGGATGTTAACCTTCGTTAGTGTTGAATAAATACGTATTATCTCTTATTGATGCTGCTTCTCAAATGTAACCTGTGGACACTTGATTTAATGTAATTTAAAGCAGACTTAATGCTGCTAATAAAAATATTTCATTGATTATTTTTTTTAATAGTTGGTTTGTGAGGATTAGATTTGTTCATACGAGTTGATCACGGGTTGATATCAGTTAAAGAACCATTGAAAACTACCACTGGAGTACTGGACAGCTGTTTCATCCTAGTTTGGGAATCATCGACAGTACGCAGCCACCAACAGGGTTCCAACCCAGGACCTTCAGGTTACAACGCAAGCTCATATACCATTCAGCCACTGGGACCCGATTCAGTGGCCAACCCATGAATTCTAACTTCTACCAATTTGTGATTTATCGCGACCACCAACCAATGTCATCGGTGGAACATCAATCCTTACACTTGACTGGATGGACTTCACTGGTCACGACTTTTCACCAGAACTGCAGGAAACTCCATCCTGTAGCATGTCACTAGCGAGCATCAGATTAATTTTCTATGGTTCGTAAGGATTAGATTGCTAGAAGTTAGAATTTATGGGTTGGCCACTGAATCGGATCTCAGTGACTGAATGGTATACGAGCTTGCCTTGTAACCGGGAAGTCCTGAACTTGAACCCCAGTGGGTGCGTACTACAGATGATCTCAAACTAGGATAAAACCGCTGTTCACTACTTCCTGGTTTTTAATTATTATTTTCATATAAATTTAGGGCCTGATGAGAAATTTATCGAACAGCAGTAAAATTTTAGTTAGATATATATATATATATATCATAGGGAAAATTAAAAAGACGGTTGCAGAGAAGAAAATTCTCTTCTTGACGAATACATCAACAGGCTGTGTATTCGCATATGGTGAGAAAGTCCTAGGACTATTTCCGGACAAGAGGCAAATTATAATGCACTATAAGATTATAAACAAGGATTTAAAAGGCATTATTAATGAAGATAAACAGGAAGTTTTGAAACGTATTAAATTTCTGCAACAGAATATCTGGTGAACTCATGACGCTCAGTTCCATTTGAAAATTCCTTTGAAGATATATGTAAGATCTGACTAAACCTACCAAAAGGAATGAGATCAAGACATAGCTGAGACACTAGCTATTTAAAAATTCAAGCTTATAGTATGTATTTTAGAGAAAGGCAGCTGACCTTTGTCTTTAACATGGCCACAATAAACAGTTAGCTACCTCAGTGATGATTTTTCGAAAACGTTTTTTATCTGAGCTGCCTGTTTATAAAACGGAAAAAAGATGGTGGGTTAGATGGATACTAGCATTTATAGGAAACCAACACACTATAATTATTTCTTTGACTTTAATTAAAACCATCTCGAATCGGTGAACATATGTTTAATTAAATGTTTGTATAATCCGGCGAAGAGCCCAACTAGTAATTAAATCAAACCCATAAAGGAAATATTACTACTGAATAACTATCCACTAGAATTTATTCAAATATATATGAAGAACCATAGAAAAACTAGGACTAGTAATAAAAATGACCATTATAATATAGAATCCAAAGCATCTGTAAAACTGCCATAAAAAGCTGGAAAGTTAAAGGCCTCACATGGGATTCTCAATAAGGTTGGAATTAGTTAGGGTGGCATTCAAACCACCCAACCATCTCTCTCAGGGATAAACTTTGTCGGCTTAAGGACCCAACAGTTCCAATTATGAAAAATAATATAATTTACCAAATACCATGTAATGCTGTGCAGTGGTGTCAATTACATGGGTCAAACTAGTAGATCGGGGTCAATTAAATTATCGGAACATCAAAAATTTGGCTAGAACTCTAATAATTGACGACAGGAAGCCTTGGACTACCTAGGTCTCATGTTAGTTGGCACTCACCAGTCAGCAAGGCGTATCTGCCACCTTGAAGGTACTCGTGTCTCTCCTGAGATTCGAACCAGTATCACTCAGTACTGCACTCAGAGACGTTACCACTGATCTATTCAAGCTCACATTAGTGCGTCGGTGGCACAGCGGTAAAATCTTGCCAACCGCATATGTAGTTCGGGGTTCGACCTCCGGACGACGCACTCCTTTACCTCGCTGGTAAGGAGGAAAGACTGGGCATGAGGTAAGCAACAGCCTCCCGTAAAAATAAAAACAGCTGCTTCTAAAACTGCAAAGCTGTAGCTTGAAGCCCTGTGTTGCACTTCGAACGCAAAGGAACAAAAAAAGAGTAATTGACCCTGCTAAGTTAAATAACCTTGAAAAAAGCTCAGCCATTGTGTTGCACTGCATTCACGCGCATGTAATGGCAAAATAGTGTGGGTGGGACAAGGTGAGAGTATTAAAAAGTAACATAGTTTGGTGGCGAGGCAGAGAGGTTAATCCCTGATGCTTTGTTTATCGATTCAACACCACACACGTCCAATTAGAATGACGCAACGCCTATGACATCGGAAATACGGAAAGTGGTAACAAACATAAAGAGAAGTTGGATAGACAGAAAGAGAGAATATATATATATAAGACAGACTGTGAAAACATGTGACAAAAACTGATATGATAAACAGCAATAAATTTTGCTCGTAACGTCATCCAGTTGTTAATACTGCATTGCTATGTGATATTTAAAATAAACTTATCTAATATGGAATTACATTCTACCACAGTGCCCAAGCTCTACACTTACATTCCTATTTATTCTGTTGTCTGTCAATTTTATTGTCCGTTTCATAATTTATTATTATTACCGCATTACCTAACTGTTACGTGGCAGTAGTAATTTTCCCATCTACGTCTAATAGTATACACATTCACCAGTACCTAGATTACATATTATATATTATATATATGTGATCACCTCGACTGTTATCAGTAAATTCACATCCTACATTTTATTAACCATATTACTACAAATGCCTAGGACTAATACCTCATTATGTAAATGCAAATCTTGATGAGGATTTACCGAAAATACATACTTGCTTAAATCGTGTTCTATATTTTGTTAATGATGAAAAATCCTCATTGGGACATATAGACAGTCAAAGCAAGTGATTCAGAGAAGAGTCTGCTTTAGACGAATTTATCATCAAGTAAGCCGTTACCATTCAGTAACTTGAAGTACAAGATACCGCAGTTGATCAATTCTATGTGCAGTTAGCAATCTACCTGCTCCAGTGGAGCTATGTATGTCCGTCGGTGGCACAGTGGTTAGGACTCTCGCCGACCATGCACATGGTCCGGGGTTCGATCCCCTGCCGACGCACACCCGACATCCATGGTCGGCCTATAAAATTTGGGCTACCGATATCCATGCTGAAAATTCCATACTTGTACTGAAAAGACGGTGTGGAATCAAGCTGTAATCAAAAAAATAATAATAATAAAAATAAAAAAGTATATTGGTCAGTCAACGCGAGTTTTGTCCTACCTGATTACGAAGAGGTGGGAGTGAGGCTATAGGTAGTTCAACAATTCAATATATGGTCATTACTGGTCATCTTATTTACACAACATCTTCCTTTAAAGTTATCTACAAAATGGATAATTACATGCCTGATTCATCTGTGTTACTGAAGCTTTGGCCGTTGAAAGAGAGGCGCCAGATCTTTGAATACAGAAAAAGTTTCCTCAACCCTTGCAATGATCGTGGTCTTAAT